CCGGAGAGCAACAACAATGCTTATCCCGATGAGGAAATACAGCTCCCTTGTGTTTTGAAGTAGGCTCGTTGTCAACCGAGCAGCTGCTGACATCATGTGAATAGACAGTGCCCAGACCACATTGGTCGGGGTGGGGGGGGGGGGGGGGGGGGGAGGAAGCTGAAAGGCAGCGATCAGGAGGGCAGAAGAGCCGAGGCTCACAAGCGCTATGGTGCTCTCGCTGTGTAACACTTAGCTCTGGAGGGTGAAGGGATTTGGATGAATTTGTCTGAAGCAGTTCGGGTTTGCTTGTGTGGGCGCCCGAGAGCAAATGAAGCAACTCTGATTACTTTGGTAAGATAACAGTTTGTTGTTGGCTTTTGCTTTATCTTCCGATGCGTCGTTGGAACCATGAGAGCTGTACAGACTGAGACTCCATTAGCGTCTGTTTTGTACTGCCAGCCGATGACGACAGCCATTTATTTAATTAGGAAGCAGGACAGTTTCTGGGATTTTATTAGAGCTGTAACGGTTAATTCAATTAGTGGAGTGACGGTGTGTTTAACAGACTATTGAAATAGTTGTCAGTTTAAGTCACTAGTGAGGATTTGATGCTTTTCTGTCTTATATATTGACAACTATATATTGATATATATTGCCCAGCCGCAGTCCGAAACCCAAAGATATTCAGTTCAGTTTGATGTGTGACAAACAAACCCATTAAATCCTCATGTTTGAAAGGCTGAGACCAGCAGATGTTTGGCACTTTTGCTTACTAAAACGAATATGCGATTATCATTTACATACGTTGTTGTTTTACAATTCGTCAACAATTTATAGACTAAAGATAAATCAAGAAAATTAAGTTATTTTTGTCACCTCGATCCCATCGAACATAAAGGCGGTTCATCAAGTATTCGGGTTTCAAAATGCCAACGGAAAAGTTTAGTTGCTACGAGAAGCGCCTCATCAATAAATGCATCGGAGTTAGTTGTCGGACATGAAATGAGTCGTGTAGACGGCCCTAATGGATGTTGAAATCGGCAAAGAGTTCTTGCCAGTCTTTGTGTGGGTTATGGCAGATAATGTGAGTTTATTATACACGTAGGCTATCGGGCTTAAAAGGCTCCGGCGGGATAGTAGTGAGCCGGCCTCTCTAATGGGCCCAGTGTAAGTGGCTATGCTGATTCATATACCGCCAGTGATCTCAGAGGCTTCTGTTGCTAGCATCTACATACAGAAACCTCTCCTGTTACATGTGTCCTCACCCAGTGTGCATGTTTGAACCTGCCAGTATGCACAGCTGTTGTGCAGCTTTTGCTTTCCCACACAATGAGGTTATAATGCTTTTTATGTCGATACGACAATGCATCCCCCTTCCTCTCAGAATGGAGGAATTACCAGGATTTAAATAAGTTCTTGAAATGAATTTAATGGAGAAAATAGCCACGTTGGAAACGACCCACACATACAGTGCGGAGCAGGAAGGAGAAGGGGGGGGGGGGGGGGGGGGGGGGGCGAAGGGAGCGCCTGAGTTCAGCTCATCAGCTGAGCTGCAGCGATTTCCCTTTGAGGATTGAGTTGTTATTGTTTTGAGTGAAAATACACACCTGTGACATTTGTGTTGTGGTAGTGTTTCCAGCTGCAGCTGTTTCAAGTTCCCCCCCTCTGTATACGCACCCTGGCCTCTTCACATAAAGGCACCCTTTCTATGGAACTAGGACACGCACTTTAAGAGAGTTGTAAGTCGTGATTTCTGGGATGTGGTGTGAGATGCTATTACGACTTCAGTGAGAACGTTGTGAATGATCCAAGGCTGGCATCTATAGGTCAAATATATTATACGTACAATATGCCCTCTAAGACGTCGTATGTCATGCATAAAGAAATATTAAGGCAGAGGGTTCTCAGATGTGATTTCTTTTTTTGTTTTGCTCTTCTCTTGTTTTATATCATTTTAAAATGAATACATACAGTTTTTGATCGTTAGTTGGACAAAACCAGACATTTGACATCCCTTCCCAAGCATTTTTTTCACTATTTCCTGACATTTTACAGTATAGACTAAACAATTCCTCGACCTAGATTAATACAAATATAATTGCTTGTTGCAACCGTAGATGGAGTGCACGGTGATTCTTTTATTCACCTCAATAAACAAGAGATACAATTACTTCGGTAACACAAAAGGTCATCGGTATCTTTGACAGATTTTCTGCCTCCAAGACGCTTTACATGTTCACTTGAATTACACAAATCACAGCAGACGAACAACTACTCATGCTGCCTCAGTCGTCGGTCAACGCCACAACAACAAGGTCCTCATCGCAGCGCAATCTGTGGATATCGGGGCATAAAGGGATTTTAAACATGCGCCGCCATTGAACTGCACGTGCGAAAGTGCAGGAGGCCTCATCATCGTCATCATCATCCCTCCATGGAAACCTGTTAATGATCTCGTGGTAGGACTTGATCCACATGCTCAGGCAAGCAGACTAATTAAACAAACACATGGCAATTAGACAGGGCTCCCATTAATGGAGAAGAAAAAGGCAATGATAACGCAGACTAATTTATTGCTGCACTAAATAAACAGACGGTGCTTGTTGTTGGTTTAAATAGTCTTCCAGTCTCTGTAGAACATTAATTTGTAGGCTAGTGAGGGTGACTGGTCGTTTTTTATATCGAAATTTTTCATATCGTAGAAGGGGCAATTTAAAGGGATATTTTGGCATTTTGGAAAGTCTACATATTTGCCATCTTGCCGAGAAGATAGATACTACTCTCATGTTGGTACGGCAATTATAAACACCAGCACCCTGCTAGCTTAGCTTAGCAGAAATAATGGAAACAGTCTGGTGACAAATTCAAATGCACTCACCTTATTTACAATTCAGGACTACAGACCAGGTGGCAACCTCCAGTGCGGAAGTGTCTTAAAACTTGCATTCATCTCTACGATGAAAGGATTGTTACTAACCAGTTAGCATAGCTTAGCACAAAACCTGGAAATGATTAGCAGCACCCCTGGAGCCCACTAATTTAAAAAAAAAAAAAGGAAGACATTTTACAGAGATTGTATGTGCTTTGGCTTGGACCATTATGCAAACCTTGGACAGAGCGAGGCTAGCTGTTTCCTCCTGTTTCCACTCTCTAAGCTAAGCTAAGTTAGCCTGCTGCTGGCAGTAGCTTCATACTAAGCGTACAGACACGTGAGTGGTGTCAATCTCATCATCTAACGCTCTGTAAGAAAGCAAATAAGTATATTTCCCAAAATGTCATCGTCTTTATTTTAGTATATGCCAGTTACTACGGCATGTTGGTTAGCGTTGTCTTGTGCTTGTCACGGCTGTAGATTGATGCAAATTGATGTAGCACGATGCTCAGTTACAGTTTTTGATCAGTTTTTGAAATTGCAATAAAGATATTTTTCTGTAATTGTTCAGCACTAATTAGTGAGAGTGTCAGGTGTTTGAACTAAATGAGGTGCTGTAGGTGTAATTATGAACCTGTGAGACGCTGGCCTCCCTGGCTATCTAGAGATGACAATCTATCAGAGGACCACACCACCGTCTGCAGTCGGGAATACAGAGTGGCTCTCGTGTTTAGTAGACGCACTCGGAGGAAATGCCAGGCGCCCAGAACTCAGTGACATTTCCTGCAGCTACCATCTTACCTACAGGGGCTTCAAGTTTCCCCGTTAACGCAAGTTACACATTCCCAAACGGCGTCGCCGACGTCTGCGTGGCTGGTGAACTCTCAGGGAATGACCCTGGGGTGGCTTCCTGTTTTGGCATAGTGCTCGCATACTGTACATAAGCAAGAAAAAACAACAAATGTGGGACCATTTCTAATGGTGATACAAAAAGAATGTGAGTGAAAGGGTTGTGGAGCAGACGGGCCCTGGGTGAGCGTGTCGCGGCCGTGTCTGCCAGCTCGTTTTTATTCTTCTCTTGTTCCCACTCGAGACTCCGACCCCGCTCAAGTTTCTTAAAGATTCGTATGGCTTAGCCGCTCAGCTGTTCTGTCGTGTTACATGCTTTATTAGAGGGTGTGTGTGTGTGTGTGTGTGTGTGTGTGTAACTTAAATGTAGTCAGTCATGCAGCCCATGCACAGCAGTTGAGGTCTGATCCGTCTGTGGGACTGAAGCTGTAGGAGAGGAACAGCTGTCTGCGGCGTCTCTAACTTTCTCTCTCCTTTTTCTTTGAGGGCGACTTCCTGCTGCTGCTTTATCTTTTCTATTCTTTGTATCGTTTCTTTTCTGGAGCAGTCTTATTTTGTGTCCTCTTCTCTCTGAGGAGGTACCAGCTGTATAGTGTTTTAGTGGTTGGCAGGATCCATGACCTAGTTAAACGTGGACCGGGAACAGGAAACGGAAGAGGAATGAATGGCTAATGGGAGCTCTACACACTGTTTTGCTGGGGCCCTTTTCTGGCCACACCTCTGCTTCTTCTTTGAATGGTTTCAAGCTTTTTTATTTTTTCCATATTGATGCAGCCACCCACTCCCTTTCCCCCCTAAATACTTGCTGTGTAAGTACCTTAAGGACAGAGAAATGGACTCTGGTAGACAGCTATGACTATGGAAGTGAGAGCTGTGAGACATTTGGTGCAGCTTTTTTGTTTTTCCTGATCTAATTAGGACAGCCTATTAGCAGAGGTGCCATTATTTGCTGTCCAGAAAAAGGATTTATTTACACTGCTGTTCTTCTTTTTATTAATAGTCTCCCGGCTGCTGTTGGCCTTTCAGGTGGTGGGAGTGCTTCCGAAGTGCCCCCTTTCTGCCCACTCTCTCACTCTGCATTGGTCATCCTCATTTGCCCCTGTAATAGCACTGTGATATTTATTTATTTATTTTGTGAAGTCTTTAACCAGTATTCCTGCGTCACATTCACAAAACACAGTGATGGGTCCTCCCACGGGTCCTGCGGACATTTGAAGGAAGACGGCAGGGTGATTTATTTGCTTCTCGCAAAACACCACCACAGCCGTCTGACATCCCCCTCCTCTCATCTTGGCAGGTGTAATGAGAGCGCTGGTCATGGACAGATGATGGACGTGGAGACGTCGTACTCGGACTTCATCAACTGTGATCGCACAGGCCGCAGGAACGCAGTACCCGACATCGCAGGTGAAGGGGAAGGGGAAGGGGAAAGAGAAGGAGCGGCCAGCACCAGTGAACTCACCAAAGATCTGGCAGAGATGGACCTGAAGGCTGCAGGTCAGTAAGCCCACATCTGAATACAGGTGTAACGCAGCGTGAGGCGTTTTTACACTGGTCCGTATGCGTTAGGCAGGCTTTATTCATTGTGATTGTGAGACTGTTTCAAAGTTGTTTAAAAGTAGTTTAACACCAGTCAGACAAAGTCAGCGTGTGACAATGTGTTCAGGCGGAGTTGATAATGAATCGGGCATACACGTGAGTGAGTTACAGTGGATTATTCAGTTATTGACCGTCACCACTACTGTCTACTAGCACTCTGGACTATACAAATGTACAAATACAAAACTATTCTCTTGTCATTTTGTTATGCTGGTTTTGCACACTACCCTCATTCACACTGATATTGCACATACTGTACATAATTGGTGTTTATACAGGTGTATAAACACCTGTATAAACACCTGTATGCATGTATGTATATATATATATATATATTTGGATATGTATGTATACGTAACTGTACTTGCATACTGTTTTATTCTGTGCTATATTTGTTGTATCTATTCTAATTTGAATATTGAATGTGTGTCTATGCATTTTCTGTGTGTAATGAGTACGAGACTACAGCCCAAAATATGTAATTTAAAAAATGATGCATTTCAAGCCTGAAAAAAATTAGCCACCCTAAAACCCAGGCTAACTCAGAGTTAAGACTCATGTCTCCATGGTTCAGTTACACCTGATACCAAATGGCACAAAATGACAAAAAAACGAGGACAACATGGCTCATAATTTGCTAACAATGTTGTAGTTATTATAAAGAAAGGGAAAAAAAGTCCATAGAGGCCGCTGTAACTCGTTGGAAACATCAAGCAGTGAGGATGTCGTCTGTCTTTTTAGTTTGCCATTTTGTTTAACGCGGTTGCCATGTTTTCTTGTTAGAATTTACCCAGAAGTCATGACAACTTCCTCCTCCTGAAGATGATGAAGAGCTAGACAGCTCCGTCTGTGTCTTAGTGCACCAAAATATTTAAATACAAACAGGTGGTACTGCTCAGCTTATGGTCTCCATGAGATTCCGTCGTTTGGCTTCGTTGCCTTAGTAGTGAGTCGTATAGGCAGCACAATGACTGATCGTCCTCGCTTCCTCCACTCTCAGCCGAGTGTCAAGTTGTCCCAGTCTGACCATTGTGTGTGACATTCTTGTTCTTGCCGACTTCCTTTTCATTCAAAGATAAGTTTCCCATGACACCCAATCTTACAGCTATAAATCTAACGCCAGTCAGCTGGGAAACATCAAGTCTGGAAGTAATCTCATATCATGCTTGGCACTGTATTGCGACAGGAAGTTGTAGTTCCTTCCTCTGAATTCTCTTTCTTTTTACTGGACCCTGAAGGCAGATTTATTGCCTGCTGTTTGGAATGCCAAACCACTTTTGAGCTTGATAATATAAACACATATATGACTGATTTAATTTTTTAATTATTATTTTTTTGCATATTGTTCCCTCCAGAAGGAGACCCGGGGGCCTCCCCAGCCCCTGAGGCAGAGGGCTCCACCAGCCAAGATGCCCAGGGAGGTGGAGGCCCATCCTAAACTCAGCCAGAGACCAAAGGGCGGCAGAGCCAAGAAGTGAAACGTAGAGAGTAGCGAATGTGGAGAGAAATGAAATGGAGAGTGTATATTGGTTGTCCGAACCGGACACGAGGACACCTTCGCTCACTGCCGGCCTGTTTGGAGCTTCAGAGGCCCAAATGTTCGCCTTTTCATTGGATCAGATTGTAACGTGCGGAGCAGAACTGACAATTTGAGATGCTGCTCTTTTGCTTCACTCTCTGTTAGTCATTTATATTCCTGACCGGACAAGAAAGCACACAGAAAACTTTGGATTTATGTCTGTGGAGATGAAGTGAGCTGAACAGAATTCATTTGTAACACTCAAAACATTGTTCCAGCCCAGGATGGAACTGTGTCACGGAGGGCGTTTTCATAATCATCTGTTTGTCATTTTCTTTCTATGTATGCGTGCGTCGTCATTTTTTAGTAACAAAATATAGTCGCCATTATACTGTCGTGTACGGACTTCATATTTATTGCTTAATGTTCAGTGATAACTTTGTGATAGCAAACTTTCTTTGTGTAATAAAATACTTATGAATTACTGTTACATTTGTATTTTATGTTTTTCGAGCGTGATTAGCTTTTCACAGGAGGCAATTGGCAGGATTCTGTCGAACACAGCAGGTATATGAGCTGTAGCGGTGCCAAGTCAGATGGGATTAATGAGTCTAGTTCGCTGAGTTGTTCCAGAGCCATAAATATTATTGAATGCAGCTTTTGTGTACATTATCGTGGCTGCAGGAAGTTAGTATTTACATTTCCACCGAGCATGTTCCCAGTGCTCCCATTTATTTCTTTACATGTAAAACGGGATCAGGACAGAGCAGTTTATCTGTAGAGCTGTAGTTTGTTGCAATTTCTCTTAGTGTCAGATTTAAGTTAATTCCCTATAATGAAAATACATATAAGTACTGGTTTATAAAAAGTACAGTAGTGTACTGTAGATTATCATCTTAAAGAAACAAGCTGACATGCACAAACATTTCATTATAGCCTTTATTATGTTGAAAGATACCTTTCATAACTGCCATAAATGTGTATAACTGGAAGTGCTCTTTTTAGGTAGTGAAATGGAAATGCAATGTTTTAAATAAATATATAGTTCAAAAGAATTGAGTAATAATGCCCAGTCGGTACACTGTGGTTTGTCCATTTAGGTGACTGTAGTGCGCCCCCTGGTGTATTAATGTGAGACTACACTTTTGGTATTGAGCCGTTTAACCTTTTGTTACGTGTTTAAGGCAGAAAGCACGTGTTTCTGACACTTGATTCAATTACTCCTCCCTTAAACAAAACTATGGATATTCACAGTACGCCATATTTACCCCGTAAGTAGCAAATCTTCAATCCTTTCCCCTCCGTTACATGCTGACAAAGTGTTCAAACTGAGTCATTGTGCATCAACAGCTTTCCTGATTCTGTTCATAACAGGATGTAAACGCAAGATGAAGAATGTATCCAGAGGTTTCATATAAACACAAAAACAATTTGCTTGCCCGTATTTTTAACACCTTGCAAAGCACCATGACATCCTCTGGAAACTGAGCTGTGAACTAAAGTATTAAAAGGTATCCAAGTACTTGGATGGAATACTGACAAGATGATGTACAAATATGTGAGGTGAAGGCAGCAGCCATATGATAAACGGCATATTTCAAATACTATTCTGTAGGTTTTATGTCTGGTTACAAATTAGGAAAAGACATTCCGCTGTGTCAGGTGGGTGAGATAAAGGTTTGTCCCTGGGTTAGGTCCCGCTTCCTCCTCAGACTTCTTCATCAGGTTTAAAAGGCAGTCGACCTGACCATCCCATACGCCTCGTACAGTCTGTGGACGAGCTCTTTCTTCTCCGTCTCAGGCAGGAAGCATGACTTTGCAGAACTGATGTTCTACGAGACACAAGAAGTCACTAAGGTGCATATTTAGTGTGCTTGAGTTCAATTTTAAGGACTAGTTCAGCAATTTGTGAAATGCGCTTATCCGCTGTCTTGCAAAGAGTGAGATGAGATGATTCATGCTGCTTGTACCAGCCAACGACCAGTTAGCTTAGCGTAGCCAGTCCAACCTTTCCCTTTAGTGCAAAAATACTCAGTTACAAGTAAAAGTACGAAAGTATTTACATCAAAATATACTAAAAGTACCAAAGGTAAAAGCACTGACAATTGTACTTTTCAGAATAATGTTTGTTATATTATATCCATTGATTCATTAATGTGTTCATCACTTATTGTAGACGCTGTAAATGTGGATCTGATTTTGTCATATTTAGATTACAATGAATAGGCCCTATTTTCTGGGTTACAGCATCACCCGGCACATAGTAACGTTATACGGCTAGTTTAATAAATAGCTAAAGTCAACGTCCGTTACTCCCACCTTAAAAAGTTGGAATAATTATTCTGGTGTTCGGGAAAACAATATTTTTTCTTTTAAGTGTGTTGCACGAACCATCCACATATCTGCCTCGAGAAATCTCAGACATAAAACTATGCGGTTTCTGGGTGAGTGTATGAACACGATGATTGGTGGTGAAATTGGTTGCGATGCAACGGGCACCGGTTCAAATCTTCCCTATATTGCACCAAATAGTTCAGGGCCAGCTCTGCTGACAAACAAGCTATAACATGGTATCTAGTGAGCTTTAGATGGGCTGGTGGACAGATATTGTTACATTTAAACAGAGACAGGCTAGCTGTTTCCTCCTCTATCATTCTTCTCATCTAACTCTTGGCAAGAAAGCAAATTAGAGTCCAACATGTAAAACTTTTTATTTAATGATCAATCCATGTGCACAATTCTTCACACACTGTGTAAAATAGGTTAATAATTGTAATTATTAATAGGATTTGAGGCTTTGGAGATTTTGTTCCTGCTTTAATTAGCAACTGATGAAGTTATTACCATGCACAGGGCATCTACACCCCGTGCTATGATTTCAAAATATATTCAAATGCCTTCGTCTTGTGAACCACTGCTGTAATTATTCATGCATTTGATCTCACCAGTCGTTTGAATTCCTCCTCTGTGAATCCCATGTATTTGTGCGCCGTGCTGTAGTCGAGGTGCAGGGTTGAGTTGAAGATCAGTGGGTCGTCTGTATTCAGGGAGTAGTTCGCTTTGTCCTTCCTGAACCTGCACGAAGAAAACGAGGAAATCCAAACCAAAAAATGAATTCAGCCCCCAATTCTACATTAATGCAGGTTAATAACAAGGCCGTCATGTACAATAAACACAGCTCACGTGATGACCGGATGCTTGGTGAAGTCTGGGTCACAGGCACCTGTCAGCTTACTGGAAACAGGACACACCTGCAATCCGAACAGCACAGGAAGCACTGAGAAACCTAATTACAGCAGTCTTTCTTCTTCCAGCTGTGATTCTGGAGGCTCCACTAGAGGTCAGCGTATCACTGTGCTCCTACTGGTGGGTATTGTAGTAATGCAGTCAGCTATGTTGCTATAATTACCTGATAAAATTATCCCACTCTGCAATGATCAAAATGATTCTTGCAGAAATCAATAACCTGTGGTGTGATGGTGATAATTCCTCACCTCAAAGTGCATGTTCTGAGCCAGCAGGTTTTTGTACAGAACTTGGTCTTCCAGGGTTCTGTAACCGTGTCCAACCCGTTCAGCTTTCAGCACTTCTACCGCCTAAAGTATAAAGACGGGTCAAGAGGCGAAAGGTTATAAACCACAAAAACAATCCTCCATGTTGCACATGTCAGCAGAATTTGCAGGCTATTTCTAGAGTTGCACTTCCATCTGTTGTGGCATAGCTGATGAGCTGTCACTTTCAGGGAAGGCGTTAGAGTGGCCACTTATTTAGGCAGTAAGACGTACTGTAGCTTTTCACTAAAGCAGTTTAAATACAGCTGCTGAGATGGACACAAAGAGTGAAAAATGTTGTCGCAGTTATGCATCTACACATGTATTCGTATGTGTTTGTGTAGCCCTTTGTGCAGTTGTTGTCCAGTCCACTTTCAGACACTCCCAATCTGCTCCTTCGCCAACTTAAACCTTCAACTGGCCAACGTCTTGTTTCTTTTGGATCTCTGCATGCTATAGCTGGTTTACTAATTTATATTGTTTGTGCGTGACTTCATTGTTTTGTTTAGTTCCTGAGAGAATTCAGTTCTCATATGACACCCTGTTCAGAAATGTCTCACGTCATTGTTGAATGGCTTACCTCCTTCACTACGGACGGGGGGCCCACTTCTCCTGCGTGAACTGTCCTGTGGATCCCACAGCGCACCGCTTCCTGTCAACAAAATCAATCACAAACATCTGGCTTTCACATCTGCAGCTCTGCAGCACCTAGCGAGGCGCGGTTTATCATTTAGACAGTTTTATTTGTGCACACTTGCTTTGTTTCGGATGGAAAAGGATGTTCTTTACTGGGAACTACAATTAAATGCACAATGGCATTGACATTTTTACAGTATGTGCACTTTGTCATCTGCTTTCATTTTAGCATTCTTAACCTTGGATACACTAAGTGTGGCTTGCTTAATCTGCAGGTATCTAGCGGTCATGTAGCTATGAAGATTACCCTCAATATTAGCGTGGACTCTGCTCAGTGAGTTCTGCTTCTTGTTAATAATTGAAGTATGAAAATGACACATACAAAATCATAAACTGGTATGCATACAACATGAGGAAAGTAAACTGTACTTGAATAAGTCGTACAAACAAACTCGCATGAAATTTCATACACACACGTGCCAACCTGCATGCACACATACAATCCTGAATTAAAGATGGTTGTAAAAAGCCTTTCAATAAAAAATACATTTCAAGAGACTATTTGAAAGAGGATTGATTTTGCAGAGTTAGTACAGTACAGTTTAATTATGGACAAATCATTTGAATGGTATGACGGCCTTATTGATGCTTGATTGGTAAAGAGCTAATCAACAAAATATGTGCAACCTTTGCAAATCCTATACTTTCAACTGGATTATTTTGATTTTATGGTCATCTTGTGAATTATTGATCAATAATTTCAGGCAGGGAGTGTATGAAAATATTTTACACTTTCGTACCCACAAACTATTGAAAGCCACCCACTGGATGACTTTGGTATGTTTGACATCTTAATAATGAGTGACTTAGAGGCAACAGACTCATAGATGAAGAATTTACATTTTGTTTACTGTCCACCTTTGCACCTCTACACTATTACTACATCAACATGCTTCACACATACAGAAATGTGTGATAATAAATTCAACACAGCAAATAAGCAGTAACTGTCAGATGACTATAAGGACACTTCTAGTATATACTACCTCCACTAGTCATTCTCATATTACACTGAAAAATATATTTAAAAAATAAACTGTCCCTGTGTAGTCGAGTCCAACCATCCATGCAATCAATTTCAGGTAAGATTTGCGCTACGTCCAGCATTGTAACGTTTTACCTGATTAATCTACCGCATTCGTTATGGTCTGACAGGCAAAATTGATTACTCACTGTGGTCCTCTTTGAATTAATCAATAAATGCTGGCTGAAAACCAAATTGGATTTTTCGTCGGTTCTTAAGAGATTGATTTGTGAGTATTAGGTTATACTTCGGTACTGTGTTGGTTACAGATAACGACATTGGAGTCCACATCAATTTGAGACGATTTTCTGACAGTGAAAAGTAAAAGAGTTTGTCAGCCGAAACACCAGAACCCACCTCAAACCTACAAATCCAGATCAGCAGGTTGGCCACCTGCAATCTAAACCAGTATGGCAGTACAGGATGACAATAGATACTGTATGTAGACACAGTAGGGCGTGCACCTATTCTGCTGGTTAGCAGGCTTAGCAGGCTGTTTAGCAGGCTGTAGCTCAGTGGGGAGAGCAGGTCGTCTTTTAACCACAAGGGTTGGCGGTTGGATCCCTGGCTCCTATTGTCTGTATGTCAAAGTGTCCTTGGGTGAGACACTGAACCCTAAGTTGCTCCCTGGGGACTTTACAGCAGCCCATTGCTCCTACAACACTTAGAATTGGTTAAATGCACAGGTCAAATTCCACGTATATACTTGTACTGTAGCAACAAAACCAAGCCTCCAAGTCTTTCTAAGGATTCCTGAAAGTTTTTGGGGCGATAAACCGCAGCCATATTTCCATCAGCCTGCAGCATGTGGGAACACGAAGTGGACTCTGTGACTATGAAATGTTTTTACAACTTCAAAATGATGCAATATGCTGGCAATAAAAAGGATGTCCACTGTGCTATAATGCTAAAGTAAGCAGTCTATTTATGTATTCTGTCTGCAATTTTCCTTCAGCAATCACACTTCTTGTTAAACTGTTAAAAACGTGTGTCGTTTACGTTAGCCACCTCTGTGTCAGGTCTTCACCATGCCCTTATCTATGAGATTTAAAAAACAAAAAAATGAATAATCCAAATTTACAGAATAACAATTTAATTTAGTTTCCTCCAGAGAAATAAAATGCTAAGATATGGGCCAACTGTATATATTCTTTAAAAGGTTATCTTACAATCAAGGAGGCCTCGTGACCCCCCTTTGAAGCTTTGGCGACAGGTTGGGAACCCAGTGGTTTAGCTGATCTTGGTTATAATTATTACCATTATTGCTGTTGTTGGTATACAAGTTATTGTTATGTGTGTAAGGCTGTGATTAAAGTAAGCAAAACACGGCAAAGCCAGCACCATTTTTAATCCCCCTCCTGCTTTGACTGTCTGTTGGTTGTTTCAGCCCACTCACCTCATAAGCATTCCTGTGCTCTGGATTGGCTTCACAGTTGAGTGATTCATCGCCTGCCAGATCGATGGCAACCACACCGTCATGGTGATATTTCTTACACAGCTCCACCACATCCATGGACCAGCCTGGAGAATTTATAACACACATTATATTATGACACATTTTGGTCCTGCCAACTCAAAAAAACACACGCACGCACGCACGCACGCACGCACACACACACACACACACACACACACACACACACACACACACACACACACACACACACACACACACACACACACACACACACACACACACACACACACACACACACACACACACACACACACACACACACACACACACACACAGACGTGATGAAATGTGATGATACAGTTGAAGCACCATGCTACATCCTTCTGTATCACTCTACAGCTATGATGAGCACAAGACAACGTTAACCAAGCTGCTGGCTGACAGTAACCGGGACTACTTCTTAAAGGAATAGTTCAACAGTTTAGGAAATGTGCTCATTTGCTTTGTTTCCGATAATTAGACGAGAGGATTGATATCACTCCCATGTCTGTACTGTAGCCTAAATATGAAGCTACCAGCAGCCGCCGACTAGCTTAGCTTATCTTAATGTTTTGATTTAGTTACTTTTCAGGCAAGTTGTTTTCCCCTTGTTTCCAGTCTTTATGCTAAGCCAAGCTAACTGTCACCTGGCGGTAATTTCACATGTACTTACAGACACGAGAGTGGTATCAGTGTTCTTATCTTCTTGCAAACAAGCATAAATATTCCTTTAATTTGCTGCATCACATGTTGACTTTTCTTACTGTATGAAAACATAACCTACTTTTACAATGTAAATGTCCCAGATCATCATACAGTATTCATAATCAGAACACAATATAAGGCAGCATACTGCAGTTAGACATACATAGTTTGACATACACAAGTCAAACATACTACAGTTATAACACAAGTCTAACTGCATACTGTTATGCAACAGCTTGTATAAGATGAGGTTTCCCTTAAATAGCCCTTTGTTTTCACATGTATAATGACAAAATCAGATGTCCTCCATATGTTCAGGAAGTCTCCTACGTTAAGATGCCATCGCTCTGTAACTAGTTTGTGTAAGAGATGCATTGTAAAATACAGAAGGACAGATATGAATTGCATTTGGCTGTAGGGCAACACAGGAAACAGCTGCATAAATGGAGCAGAGCAGATTTGCAGCAACCTTCTCCCTTTAGTCACTGCTGCTGCCGCTGAGATGGCAACTGCTGATGTTACCACCACGATTTGTACTGGTACAGCTTGTAGACTGTACACAGTGATCGACACAGCTGCTGTAATTGATATTTACCACTACTGCTCCAGCTACCACTAGTACAACGATTCCAAATAGTTGTACCGTTGTGTGAAAACAGACTTTTCCTGAGCTAGTGAAGGCAATATTGGTCTGTTGATTTTCGGTCCACCCCTTCGGTCTAAACTGAAATATCTCAGCAAGTATTGGCTGGGTTCCCATAACATTTTGTACAAACATTACTGGTCCCCAGAGAATGAATCCTATTGACTTTGGATCACGCCCTGACTTTTCCTCTAATGTCACCAGCTGATTGATATTTTTGTCTTTTACTATTGGAAGCACTGAAATCAAATTTAATACAGATGTTCATGTTCCTCTCAGGATAAATCCTAACGACGTTGGTGACCCCCTAATTTTTCTTTTGTGTCATCATCAGGTCAAAGTTGTAAATTGTCCAATACTTTGGTTTATAGACAAATACCTGCAAAACTAATGACATTCCCACCAGCCTCAGCTGTACTTTCTGTTTAGCGCTAATTCGCAAATGTTAGCATGCTAACAAACTAAACTAAAATGGTGAACATGGTAAAAACAACACCTGCTCAATATCAGCATGTTTGCATTGTCATTATAAGCTTACAACTTTTCTGTTTCTCTGTCTTTCTTTTTGTCGAGCTCATTAATTGATAAGAATAACCGAGGCAGAGCTTTAAGAAAAGACAAAAGACAGTCCAGAGAGGAACCTTATCTCACAAGGTTGTTTTGGGGCGACAGGAGCATGAACAGTTCATTACTTGGCATGTGGCGCATGCAGCATAGAATGGACCTGGCTTTGATATTGAAGGCCCTCTCCCCCTCGCTGAGGCCCTCGTTAACCAGGTGCACCACCTCGTCTGGGCTCAGGTCACCTCTGAGTGAAGAAAATACAGAAACATGCAACGAGTGAAAGTGAATACATCCCTGCCTTTAAGCAACACCAACACCAGGTTTCCTCAAAGACTTACTCTTTCTGGTTCCACGGTATTGGATCCACTTTAGTGTTAGCCAGAAAATGCGGGCTGTATCTGACCTCCACATAAATCACTCCCTCCTTGGCTTTGTCCTCAACGAATTCATAGGCTATCCTCTTTATGGCCTCTCTGTCTCCACTGTAAGAGAACAAAGGAAAACACGACATGAGTAACATTGCTCTTTGACTCTGACAATCTCTTATCTCAGTCGTAGCGTACAAATAAAACCACTAGCCACTGTTAATCAATCATCTATGGTGGCTTTCAAAATTAGCAATATAAATATTTATTGATATAACTGATTTTATTTAAATACCTCACGTCTATTCTAGGATTAAGAAGAGTGTAGTGGAAAAAACATCTGCAAGGGACTGTATGAAAATGATTTTTGGGGTGAGCAGGAGAGATTCTTTAAAATATTTCTAATCCTAGATTCAATTTTATTTCAGTATTCCCCTTTGAGAAATATTAAAAATTGTAAATGACATCTGAAAGACAGCGTTTGTGTTTGGTGAGGGTCATAACTGTGTGTTTGGCCATAACAACCTTGTATTATTTTTCTCCTCAAAATCAACTAGTAGACTCAGTTTTGAGAAATAGACTGAATAGGTCTTACTAGTTATTGTTGCTTGATTGTTGCTTTAGCGCTCCACAGAGTGCGTCATTTTACACTACAGCAGTTTCGACCCTCCGCTTTAACTGCAGCACAGCAGGAAGCAGAACAACTGTAAAGTAAAATGTGCCGTATAAAGTTACCATTAACAACATTTTCTACAAAATGGTGAACTTAGAAGAAACAAATCAACTGGTATTGTTTGTTGGAGCTGCAACAATCGTCAGTCTGAAAATGAATCAGCAACTATTCTGTCAATTGAAGAATAATTCAAGTACATTTTTCAAGCAAAAATGGAAACCATTGCCTTGCTCTTCTTTGTACATGTGAAGAGTTGGTTGGTTGTGTATAGATATGTATATATATATATATATATATAACGCTGGGGTGAGCTTCAAATATTTATGAAGTTTGTATACAGTCCTTGGCCATTTGCTTATCACATTTTACACACATGATTGTGCTGCACAACATAATGTGCTGTGACAGTATTAGAAGAACCACAGCTCCACGTTCATCATTACTTTAGACTCAGTTGCACACTTTCTGGCCCACATCACATGACGAACAACAACACAGCTTCCAGCATTTACACAGGTCTGAATGTGTTGTTCTCCAGCATCCTCTCAGTAACCCCCCCCCCCCCCCCCACCCCCCCCCCCCCCCCCCTCCAAACACTCACCACCACCAAGCTCATACAACAATTCTGCATGAGCTAAACTCAGCTAGCAAGTTCCCCATGCTGTTGAAGCCGCACTGCACACAAGGCTTTCAAGAGCCTTGATACAAGAGGGTCCATTCAGGACAACTGTGCGCTGCAGTCCCGTCATTGTTGAAAGCTTTCACGGCTGTCGAGCGACTGAAAGACTTTATTTGGTCTTTTCTTAACAGTTCAACTGTCACTGGAGGACTAAATATAAGACTCCGGAAAGGGTTCCCAAACAACTTTACCCTCCTCTTAGTTTAGTTGCCAAGTTGACACTTGATCTCAATATTGATGTCTTCCTGTTCTGCATGTCCGGCATTTAGAATCCCCACCCCGATCCAACACAAACCAGACTACACACTCTGGTTGCGTCATAATTGTATAACACAAGTGCACATGCGTGATAACAGACTGCCCGGACGTTGACCCTCATCGAAGAACATCGTGGAGTAACATTCCTGTGACAGCAATAAGGCGGACCCTGACTCTTAATCACTCAAAGTTTTGCTCTTTGCACTCCCTTTCACCTGCTCAGCAAAGAAAACACCGTTGGCAATTATGTAACTGAATCGTAAAGGAGACATGTGAGCACTTACGCAACCACGTGCATGTATTCAGCAAACTTTCCCAGGAACGTGGTGAGGGTGGCAGGCTGTTGGACGATAATGATCTGCGTCATCTCCTCCACGGTATTTGCTGGCAGAGGGATGCCGCGTCTCCTGGAAAGAGGAGAGGGGGAAAAAGGAACAGTTCAGGGACAGTGTTGCATTTTCAATTTCATTTGAATACCAATATTTACGAGTCAAAGCTGATCTAATCTATGTTTTTTACATTACCAATGTGTCGGCCGTGTTATGTGAAAGGTGTCGCTCATAGTGGCAAACCCAAAGAGAATTATCCCCGACTGAACCTCAGTTAACCCTGAGCTCTATCGAACATTTCAGCATCTTTCAGCTCATTGTTCTGCTTCTATGGGCCAACAATTTAATATTTTGGTTCGCTCTCAGTAGCGTCATGTTCAGCTGGGAGCTTGTTTTTTTGCATAAACCCGACACACTAACTGCTCAGCACCAAACAGCAGACAGACACAGTTCAACTAGGTGGTGAACATAGTGAAGCATCTTTAGCAGCTAAAGAGAGAGGTGTTTTCCTCAGAAGTTTGTGGAGACCAAAACAGAGATAGAAGAGAGTGAACATGTGACTTCCTTTCATCGGGAGGACAAAAACACGACCCCAAACTAATGCTAATGTCTCTGTTGGGTTTGTACATAGGCAACTGTTTGCTAACCTGTTCGCCATATGTACTCACATAAGATCTGATAACAGTTAATCATTTTTAAACATTACCACATTTTGAAGGATTCTTTAATTTTGGTTATCCGTGAAATGTGACCAAGATATGTTCTGAGCACATTTTGCAGTCGCTAAAACAAACGTGTCCACCTCTTTGGTGAATACAACTTTGTTATGTTAACAATATTTCAAACATATCTTTTGCATTTATGTAATGCAATTTCTTGTTATTTATAGACCAATATAAGTGAATATAAACACCTGTTTGTGTGATTTATTAGTGGTGCTCTTTTTTACTTTTCGGTATGTTTAATCAAAAGAACTGTATGACGTATTTTCTTATTTCTTAACTTACTTGGCAACATCAAGAATAGTCTGCACCCTGATGGCTCCATCGAGGTGCACATGCAGCTCAACCTGCGGATGAGAAAGATACGCAATAATAAATGATCAATTAAAACAAATTATCTTCAAACAGATGGGCGTTGCCATATATCCAAGCCTCGCTGTACACTAGGGGTAAGATACCCAGTAGTGTTACAAAAACAGAGCAGCCAGAGAGCGCAGTGATGTTGGTGTTGCAGTTCAGCGTTTTGACTGCAGCCCAACAAGTGGTTAAAAGGCCAGCAAAGGGTCAAAGAAGATGAAATGTTCTGGCTTTCCTTCAAGCGCTGACAGCAGTGATTTATTGTGGCAGATGACACCGATACTCTATGCTCCTCCTTCAACAACATGAGGCCTAATCTTTGCTCATCAGTCAGGGTGAGGTTTAATTAAAGAAGTTCTGACAGCATACATTTCATTTCTCTTTCTGGTTGGGAGCAATGACGAAGAAGAAAACGAGTATGTTAATGTCAAAAAACTGAATAAAACCAGTAATCAGTGAAAATGTTGGATCTATAAAGTTTAAGAAAGCAGTCAATGAGCCTTCTAATGACCCCAGTTAAGCTCCATCCAGCTGTTTAAGGTCTTAACTTCACCCATGGGGATTTTTTATTGTTATTAATATTCTAGAAGAGGATATAAAAAGGGGTGTGGTCATTGGTGGAATATTCTCTATTTCATGAAAATGGGTGGAAACACAGTAAATACGGACCACAACAGGAGGAGTTAAATAAGGTATACAAGTAAATGCCTGAATAGAATTCAGTGTGCTGCTCCATGGACTAGCCCTCGGTTTGCTGTATTATTCTTGATACACAGTAAATCTATAATTGCATTGAACTCTACTGGATCCGTTGTATTTCTTCAACGTTAAAACGAGTATCAATAATATTGAAAAGTATTGATGTTTTGGAGGACAACTGCTTGTCAAGGTTGAAGGTTTTTACAATTAACTTCGGTCTTTGTTGTTATTTGGTAACACTAATAAATAAGCGTGCTCCTAAAAAGAAGCAAGTACAAATTGACTTTGTGCAAGTAGATTCTTTACTTGCACAACTGGACGAGTGAAAAAAAACATTAACGTTGAACCCTACATCAGCCATCAGCTTTTAATAAAACAAACATTTCTTGTGCGTTACGATTTAAGATAAAATAATGAATCTATTTGTCAGAGGACAGAGAATTAATCTGCAACTATTTAGATGATTGATGAATAGTTGGGTCTTCTTTTAAGTAAAAACTCCAACATCCTCTATTTCCATATTTACAGATGTGAAGACTTGCTGAAGACATTTGAAGACACCACCTTGGACTTGTAGAGATCATTAGAACTTCGGTGGTGAACTTTCGTTCACAGTTTTCTGATAAAGTGGTGGCCAAATGATTGATTAATAAATCAAGACAGTACCCTGTGATAACCTGTTAATAGATAATAAAATAAGCACCAATTATGACCAACTGCTGTTCAAACCTGCTTCCTTATTGCCTTGCTACTTAGATAGAACATAAAAACATGTACACGTTGTCCAGCTGTGTCCAGCTGTGTGGTGAAACCAAAACTAAAAAGATCTTGAAATCAAATGTTTACAACAAGAAGAAATGTGTGTTACTGAAACTGCTTGAGTGTGTCTTTTGTTTACATCTATTCTCTTCCCTTAAAAGCCTGGTGTGGTGTAGCGTGCAAATTATTCCAGTACTCACAGAACTTCCCTTAGTACATTGTGGTTAGTTATATAGATAAGAGATTAAGATATTATACTGATTGCCACTAAACACAGTGAATGAGAAGCACAGCCCTGAAGTCCAGTTGTGACGCAACATTTTAGCTTCTGTGTTTATTTATCATTGATAATCATTTAAACCAGAACAGAAACTCAATTAGCTGATTGACAAAAAATGTATTGTCAACTATTTTTATAATCGATCAAGTCATTTTCCAACCACAAATACAAAAGATTCTTTAGTTCTCAGCTGGCTTGCTGTGTAGGATTGAGTGGCATCTAGCAGATTGCAACATATTGAATATATTTAATGCATTAAAACATATTTAATTTCAGGTCATTATACACTAATGTAAACATAGTTGTGAACATATTATTCCATTTCTGCCCATGAAACCGTACACACTGGTGCTTTGATAACATTCAACTGATCCAGCTGTAGCAGAGGGTAAGTCTGAACCGCAACAGAAACTCACTGAAATAAAAAAAGTTGATTGGTCGATTGCCAGAAAATAAATTGCCAACTATTTTCTTTATCGAACAATGATTACGGTCGTTTCTTTTAAGCAAAAATAGCAAATATACGGTGGTTCCATTCTCTCAGTTGCAAGGATTTGCTACTTTCCTGTTTGATATTACTGTTAACATACTTTTGTCTTTTTTGAGATTTGAAGATGTCAGATGTGGATTTTATAAATAAAAAAAAATGTGATGGTCATTTTTTACTGTTTGTTGACAATAAATTGAGAAAATAATGAATCAATGATGAAATAATTGCATTATTACTTACTACACACTGTCCTAACCCAGCTACTATACTGTGACTACTGTACTGTCTGCATATGAAGCATGGATGGTGAACTGGCGGTTGCTGCAACAGACAATGACGCTACCAGTGGTATCATTTCAACCAGAGCAAATTCATATTTAACCTATCATCAAGCAGCCTTCACTCTAACAAGGCCTCTGCTTTTACAAGTTATGGTATGTGCTGTATGTGTGTATGTGTCATTTCCTTTCTTGTTATCAACTGTCAGCAGATCAGGTGCATGCCCAGTCAAGACTCCAAAGGGCACCAGTGTGTATACATTTCCTGCACGTGTGCCAGATGTGCATGTGAAACCATAGCTGAGAATGAAAGGTCCATATTTCACTTTAAGGCTTTGTTATGCAAGCGAGCCGTCTCTATACCAGCCAACAAAAGAACTACTGTGACGAAAACAGGAAAATACATGTTTGTGTTTCTATTGCAGTGAAGAGTTGCTCACATGAATAAGGGGAACCCCTTCATCCCACCTGCATGCATTAACGCAGAATGACATCGACTACAAGGCAAGCTGTTAAAAAGCGGATCCAAGTTCGGATATTAGCTTCATTTCTTTGCTCCGTGGAAGTGTAAAAAAAATATTACACTGTTTATAATAACCAGACAAAAAGAGTGGGAATTTGGTCAGTGGAAAATATATCTGTAAAAAGTTATTTTCACCACCGCGGTGCTTGTAATTTAAAGCCGGGTCATCACATGTCAAAGTGTAAGCGGTGAAATGTTCTTTCGTATTTCACTCCGGGTAAGAGACAGACACACACACACAGTCACCCCAATACACACAGACAGACACTCACTCATACACCGGTAGCGGTATATCATGTTTTTTTTTGTATTTTCTTTCTTTCTTCAAGTATTTCACCAGCTTTCCATTGAAATGCCATTGGTTAATACTGCCCTGTGCCACCGGCTGATAACGTACCTTTGGCTTGTTGAATACCACTTGTTCGGACGAGAGCTCGGCCATCACGGTAAAAAGCCTGCGGCTGCCGGTGTGTCTGCTGGTGCACAGAGAGCCGAGGACTGGAGAGCCGAAGCCTGTCGCTGCTCGTCTGGCTATTATATGCATGACTGCGGGACACGCCTTCCTATTATCAAGGGGCAAAAAAGCAGCAGCCCCCGAGTGCATTGGTGCTACTGTACAAACATCCTGAGAGGCTGTAACAGAGCTGCAGGTTCAGTTTTTTGCACCAACACATGTAGACTGTAGAAGGATTAAGGGCTCTGTGTATGGCAGCAGCTTTGAACCCATGTGATACCAGCTTTACCGCTGGTCTAATTGATATATTTATGTCCAGCCGGATACCGCGCTTTAATTTCATTTAATTAATTTCACTGTTGAGCTTTCTGTTGTTATTATTGCCTTGCTTTTGCTGCTTTGTCCGTCAAAGCACTTTATAAAGTCTGTTTGTAAAGGTGCTATATGAATAAAGTTATTATTATTATGGATCTACAATTGCAAAATGCAACATCCTGTTATTTTTGGTACACTGCATTTATGTATTGGGACATTCTAAATCTTTTTCTAGTATAGTCTACTAAATATTATGGTATTGGAATGCAAAGATAGATTTTATATAAGAAGTGGACGTAGTCACTGTGACGTAGCCATTGGTTTGTGGACTTCCGTTTTGGAGCCCCTAATTCGGTAGTTTGGTTGTCGCCATCTTGTTTTTTACAACCAGAAGGGATGGCTTCTCATGAACGGAAACATGTTATGAAAGGGTTAAAGCGCTAAAATGAAAACATGGACAACTCAGAGACCGGACAACACTGTGGTAGCATTAATCCCAAATTAGCCACGTCCTAAAGCATACCCTGCTTCTTTGTGTATTCTACTCTAAATGGAACCATTATTTACTAAATGAACATCATGCTGTAGTGAAGAATACTTAATGTAATTTTAATCTTAATTTTAAACTAATGTTTAAAATGTTTACTAAGGTGATAAATTAAGTTAGAAGTATAGGGTCATTTTCTCATAGACTTCGATACATTAGGACCTCTTTTTGCAGTAGAGAGAATGCAGGTTTAGGGCACTTCCGCATTGGCTTTACTTTTCCAGATGTGGAGGTTGCCACATTCTTGACCTGGTACGGAATGCCCTCTCATCCTTCTTTTCCCTTTTTTTACTCATATGACACGGACGCATGTAAAGTGCGTAATTTTTTTTATTTTCGCACAAGCAGTAGCCTGGCTGTTCGCACACAATGATGAAAAGAATATCTCTCAAGTACAACTCGGGTCCCTTCGTTCATACCAAAGACCCGTTCAAAAGATTTGGGTCATACCTGAATGTCACATCACTAAGCTCTATAGAGTATTTCCATTTTATGCTCTACTTTATTCTACTCTACTACATTTTGGAGGCAAATATTATCGGCCAACATTTTACTTCAATACATTTATTTGAAAGCTTTAATTACTTTGCAGAATTTGACTATCAATACAGAATATACATACACTTATGAATTATGATATATTATTATAGATTAACTATCATCCTAGTAGCCCAATTAATTGGGGGACCCCAAGAATAAACACTGTAAGAAATAACCATCATAGCAAAATGTTAACTCATTTATTTTCAAAACATTAGTAGTTAATTAATGTTGTTTGAGGAAAAAATGATTATTATTATTTCAGGAAAGGTATTATTAAATTTGCATATTGTGTAAAACAAAAAATAGACAGCGCACAAGAGGAAATCTGTATCTATCTCCCTCAAAATGCCAGACAGTCCCTTACCCCCTTGATACTTTAAATTAGCACCAATGGCAAAACTGCATAGGCTGTAACATGTGTGCTTTTGACTGGGAACCCCCAGGACCGTATTTCTTTTTTTAAAAGAACAAAGTAAAACAGAAAATAATTATTTTAAGTCATTGAGAACATATTGAGTGACTAAGTCATTTTTTACTTGGCTAACAACTCCACAATGCTGAAATGTTAACAAACTCTAAAATGTCGAGTCTGCAGATTTAAGATTTTAACCAGCAGTGTTTTCTCCTGAAACGGATCTGATCAGCATTATTGTCTGTGTGTGACTTGCACTTCTACTTCCACGTCCATTGCCAAGATGTCTGCTGCTGACAGAGGAAACCATTGGTATAATTTTCCTGCTTTGAAACAGAGAACCAGCTGCAGTGATTCCTCTCAGTACGGTATTTGTGGGTTCTGTAGCAGATCTTAAGAAATGCTTTGAGCTCCCAGTGAAATAAAACGTATAATTAAACCCTAGCTCTTGTCTATGGTCCTTTATTTTCCTTGCTTCTTCTTTTGGCCCCATGCCAAGCATCAATTACCATGCCCATTAGTGTTTCAACATCCAGCAGCTAGTTGTTCTAACACAGGCATGTCCAAAGTCCGGCCAGCACAGTCAAAACGGAATGAATAAATCATACAAATTCAACATGCAATTCCTCTTTCTACCTCATGGTGGCAGCACCACTCCGTAACTGTCTGGCTGTTTGAAATTGGCTCTGACCCTTGACCTGTCATGTTACGACAAGTAAAAAAAGGAAAATCGATAATGAGGGCCGCCGCTTCCAGGAGAGGTGGAGATCGCAATATTTTTTTCACCGAAAACCGAAACAACTGTGTCTGCCTAATTTGTCATGAGACTGTTGCCTTGTTTAAGGAATATAATGTAAAGAGACACCACGAGACCAAACATGCTAATGCTACAACAAGCTATCAGAGCGACCGAGCTAGAAAAGTGAAGCAGCTCCAAGATAACTCGGCCACACAGCAGCGGTCCTTTTCACATGAAAACATCATCAAAGTAAGCTACCAAGTGGCCATGGTCATTGCTAAACATGACAAACATGACAAAGTGTATCAAAGACTGTGTTATGAAAATAGCAGAAAACATAATTGCCCCGAGAAGAAGACCGAGTTTGCTCATGTTTGCCTGGCTCGTAACACTGAAGAGCTATCATCAGATACTAAGAGACAACTTGATTTTTTCGTTAGCCTGTTTCATGTGTGTTGAACTTAAATGTGAGACAACTTTCCATTACCCTCACTAAGTCATATTTAAGATTGTCTTGAGGTGAGAACATTGATCGGTTTCTATGCAATTAGCTTTTAGATGGCTTGTTCTTTGTGTTATCTGACTTTCAAGATGTGAAAGAAAGGCAGAATAGTTGTTGAGATGTGTTCACACATGAATGCTTACATTTGGTTACATTGCTATTTGCTGTCATTGAAAATAAAATGATTAAATAACAATGTATGTATAGGCTACTTGTATTGTTTAAAATAATGTCAGCAGGGACTGTTGGCCCTTGGGCATTTTCACATTATCAAATCTGGCCCTCTTTGAAAGACGTTTGGACACCCCTGTGGTAAAGTAACAATAATGTCAGGAAGTAAAGTGACATTTTTTTATCAACCTGACAAAATTACGTTCTTGTGGGAAGAAAAGAAAAGAAAAGGCAACACTGTAGCTTCTTTACATTCCAATAGAATGTAAATAAGTTACATTGTATCAGAATGTAACTTATTTATATTCTAACAGAATAGAATGATTCTATTGAAGTTATTCCTTTTTTAAATGTTTTAGATGAGTCACAAATCACTTTAAAATAGTGATTATAGCTGCTTACATTTGGTTACATTGCTATTTGCTGTCATTGAAAATAGAATGATTAAATAACAATGTATGTATAGGCTACTTGTATTGTTTAAAATAATGTCAGCAGGGACTGTTGGCCCTTGGGCATTTTCACATTATCAAATCTGGCCCTCTTTGAAAAAAGTTTGGACACCCCTGTTCTAACAACATCACTAAAGATAAGAAAGATTGCAAAGAACCACCTTTGACACAGTAATTGGGTTTCTTATCTGAGTGCCTTGGTTTCACTTGTGCTTGCAGTTTTCATAAGGGGATAAAGCTGAGACTTTGGCATGATGTTTGAAAAATTACATCACAAGTTGTGCAACTATAAATGTGTAGTATAGTGTTTTGGATGCAATACCTCAAATCTTTCCAGCATTTACAAAAGTGTGGTATTTTATTCAGATATTGTGAAACCAGGTCTTGGGTAAATAAGAAAAATGTAACAAAGGGAAATTATTGCTTCATTTTGGAGGGAAATATTGTGAAATATCTATTTTAAAGCCTCAGTTAATCTGCAGATTTATATTATGAATACAACATATAAATACAATTAGACCTTATGATTTGTTATTATAGATCAACCCTCATCCTACCAACCTATTTAACATATGTAAATAACTGAAACATGTTCACAAAAATAATACAGCAATTGCGTACAAATTTCTTCAGTCTTAAGCCCCACCTACTGGCAGCACGAAAAAGAGTGGTTTTAATGGTAGGCTAAGTAATTTAGAAATCAATCATCAATCAATCATTCTGAATTAATGCATGGCAAAAACAAAAAAAACTCAATAGCCGCTGTCATTTATCATTGTTCTTCAATGTGGCTGAATATAACAGATTTTAATTGAGCTGGAAACACTGTAAGGCAGTGATTTTCAATCTTTTCTGAGCCGCCGTACATTTTTTACATTAAAAAGATCCCGCGGCACACCAACAACCAAAAAAGTTACAAAATGACACATTGTTACATAATACAGCATATATGCTGACAATTTAATGCCTCTCAATTTGTTGCTCCTTACTCAGTGTGAAACCTGGGCCTGTTTCCATGAAGGTGAAAGTAAATCCAAACGAAAACCTTCGCTGTATTGTTTCAAGCTCACCGTTTTTTTTCTTCTTTTGACCACCACTCATACTACGAGGCTTTTCATCTGGGTTAGAATGTTGTCCAGGGCCCAGTTCAGAGTCTGCATTTTTCTTTTTCAAATATTTCTCCATCGCTGTTCGTCTTAGGAAAACAAACTAAATTGTTTCCCAAAATGCATAATATTGGTTCAAGATATCCCTAAATTAGTATTTAAAACGTCCAAGAACCTGGCTTATCCGGAGTGGAAGTTACTAGGCAGAGAGCTGCAGTGGCCCAGTCAAATCCTCAGTGAGCAGTCGTGGAATTGCTTCACTCCAAATGACCAACCTGTTCTCGTCACAAGAGTCAAGAAAAC